AAACACATAAAGTAACAGCTTTCTAATAAAACAATCTCTTACCAATTGAGGTAGTTGTTGATGTAGATGGCCCTTGTATTGGGCAATCAAATGCATTAAAAAAAAATAAGTAACACAGCTTCTCTCTATAATCTTTAAGTATAATATTTATTCAACACTTTGCTGCAGCCCGATTGATGTAATCTAACCGGCCGACCTGCTATTTCTATAACTCAAGGAAATATCATTTTTCATTTTCATATTTTCATATATTTTTTTCCTAAACAATTTAAACATAACTTCAATAGGTCACGTGACAAAATCGTCGAATAAAAAGATAGAACATACTTCTTGTCTTATAATCTGTGCTGATTACCTAACCTCACTAACTGATGTCAAAAATGTCATTCAGTCGTCCAATGAGAAGATGGAATTCAAGGTGGTAATTAGCCTCTCGTATTTAATTTAGGTCATAATATTTACCATATATACATAAAATTTTAAGAGTGGGTGAATGATTTATGGTTACCAATACGTGCCGATACCCAATGATGTTAATTGTTATGGTTAAGGGATCAAATTACAATTACGAATTTCCGGGATTTCTCATTCTTTGTATTTAATTTTTAAACAATACAGGGAAGTATCAAATAAATTTTAATACAAACGTATTGAAAATAATATCAAATTTTTTGTGATAACAAATTTAAACAGTAGATTTCCGAATCGAAACAAACCTAATAACCTAATAACCGGTTTTTACTTTAAAAATAAAAAACCGGTTATAACCGGGACACAAAAACAACCGATAAAACCGGTTATTGCGAAGTACAAAAACCGGTTTTCGGTTAAAACCGGTAGGTTTTTCCCATCCCTAATTTGAAGCACTAAAATGCAAAACAATAAATTTGTGTAAATAAGTGTGTACTTGCAATTTCTTTAATGCTGGATTCTTGTTTAATTTTGACAGTGAGTTTGTCCCATTTGTTATCAATAAATAAAATTTACTAATTCAATCTATTATGTTACATTCTAGTATAATTTTGTACTTTTCTTGTGATGATCTACAACAGGAAGAACAAAACCAACTGTATCAATACAATCAAAGTAAAACACAACATTACTAATGTTCTTTTATTGTGATGAAAACAAAATGACAATGCTTCTTAACAAGTATACACAAATTTAAAAGATAGTTGCCGTTTTTCTTATGATAATTAGATATAAATATTATACCTTTATAAATTTATAAACACTGTAAACTCTATTTATTATATATATATATATATATATATATATATATATATATATATCAGGTAGAAAAATATCACATTAAACACTATTATCGCATATCACAAGTTATTACAAAAACAACTTAAAGAGTCAGAAATCGATTTATATAATATTCTGTGCATAATATATATTCGGAAGGAATGTAAAAATAAAAATTTAATAATTTTATTCGTCTTCCAAAATCTCTCCATTTATGTCTTGGTGAGATTAATGAACAACTACACCATTTTAAATTTCTTGATTTATTTTTTCAGCAAAAACTGAATCTATTTCAGATATCTGAGCAAAAAAGTTTTGTTTTTGGTCAGCAGCCCAATGTATAAACTATTCTTTGAATAATTTCCCCTAAAAAATAACTATGGTAAGACATTCATAATATAGACAATAAATCAATCATCCTATAAACAGTAAGATAAACAATCTATAGTTTGTTATGCTACGTGATATTTGCTGCATTGAATCTGCATATGTAAAGTAAAAATATCCTTTTTTTCCTTTTCTTCCCTTTCCATGTTTTTATACCTGTTGAACCAAAATTAAATAACAATGTTGTAATAAAAACTTAAAACTTACTATTTAATAGTAACAATAATATACCTGATAATAAAAATGAAATCTATAAAATGTTTTAGTTAATTTTACTATATAATTGTAGCTAACCCATATTTACATACCGATATTTGTACTTACTTCAAATTAATTTGCTTCAAGAATTTATATAATATTGAACGATAGGGCTGCCAGGTGAAAATTTTTGTCCTCCCTAAATTAAACATTAAAATGTCCGTAGAAATCCCTAGATTGGAATAAATGTATATATGGTTGCCTAATTCTGAATAAAATGATAGGATGTATTGATGGTTGCCTAATATAATAACATGGATATAAAAATGGTGGAGATTACCGAAAGTACAAGCTGATTATAGCCGCAAATATCAAACATGGAACAAAAAATTTCGGTATAGCAGTGTTGGCATGTTTTTATAATGTAGATGCTGTATGCTTCAAATATAAAAACATAAAGCTTTAGAAAAGTACATTTTGTTTATATTATGTTGTTCATTCTGCAATTTTTGATTTATATAAAACAATAATGAATAAATATTTGTTTCTTTGGGGATTAATATTGCAGTTAATTATTAGAAATTTTTTAGCAATTACCCTTTGGTAGATTAGGGGATAGATTTGGCAATCGTCAAATCAGCAGTTGACAGATTATAACAGATGTTTGCAATTAATCTCGAAGGAGACAAATATCTACCCATCACTGCTTCATATAAATTAAAAATTGCAGAATTTATAATAATAATAATAGTCTCCCGTTTTATACCGCACGCGGCTTTGGGAGTATAGCAGGGTAGTCTGCTATATCTAGGGCCTACGGTATACAAGGAAGGTAACATGGCCAGTGCTACGCTTCAACCGCCTATTATTACCCCTGGTTTTACCCAAGGTACTCATTTTATTCAGGCTGAGTCGACCTGGGGCCTATAGACATTTTTAAAAATGCCTAGTTGTTCTTGCCGGCGGTAGGATTCGAACTCACGACCACCGGCATGCGAGGCAAGCACACTACCGCTTGCGCTACGCGGGCCCTAGAATTTATAAAATATTATAATAAAAATGTACTTTTTAAAAGCTCTATCTCTTTATATTTGAAGCATACATTATAAAAACATGCCAACAAATATTTTTGACATTTGCGGCTATATTCAGCTTGTACTTTCGGTAAACTCACCCTAAAAAAATAATTGTTTTATACCTTTATTTCAAAAACATTAAACGGTACAATAGCGATGATTTGAATAAATTTAACAAAAACAGAATAACGTACTTATTTATGGCTTTGAATATTCCATTTAATATATTATTAAGTATTATTCACTTAATAAAATTAATACAAAATACAACTTGAAGAGAAATGAGTCGGTGAAGCATAGAATTTTATTGATATATTTCCACGAATCCTGGGATTCATCCGATTCTTACTGTAAATCCCCTAATTATTTATTTTATAAAAACTAAGATTTTTGTAAATCTCCTAATTCCTTAAAGGAATCGCAAGATCCTTAAGATCGGAAACCGAAATATCGCTTATTTAATACTGTTAATACGAAGTGGTTTTATACCTGAATTACAGAAAATGTTATTATAATAGGCCTATGTAGGTAAATATTGGAGCCGGTCAAAAATCCTTAGATTTTACAATAAATATCAAAAAAATCCCTTTGTCCCTTTTATACTGAAATATCCCTAGATTCGGGATAAATCCCTAGACCTGGCAGCCTTGAATTGAACGACACATATTTTGTGAACGACACAATTTTACCTAAAGTGAGCATTTCATTATTGAAAAAGAAGCGCTGTACTATCTGCCGTATAGATGTTTTAACTCTTTCATCCTATGTTGCAAGATTATAAAGTCGACCTTCAATATTTTTAGGACATTTTACTGCTCCAGTCTGCTTATATTCTTTAATTGTTTTAAATTCTATTGTTGTAAATAATTGAATTCGCAACACCTAAAATTAGCACATTACTTTAGTAAGTCTTGATTTATAATAATAACTATTCTGTAAAACTAACCTGCTGCCTGTTTTATTTTTACTACCGTGGCTGTTATTTTTATTCCAGGATTATCAATTTTCATGTTTGTACATGTTTATAGTACATTATATTTCTCATTTGATGATAAATGATCCAAATCTACTTGGCGTTTTTAAGGTGGAGAAGAATAATTACCACTAGTACTTGGTATTGAATCCATATTGTTATCTTAATAACACTAATATGTCGCTAAATTGTTCTGAAAAGAACTGTTTTTTATATAAATGCAAACGAAAAATCTAAAGATGTAAGAAATAACACAAAAAATACAAAAAATTGTCGATATAAATTTTGAATTTTAAAATTTCACAAATGTCATTAGTGTCAATATGTCATAATTTAGTGGAGTAAACTTGCCTGCTCATCGACCAATTACAAACAAGCATTATGGCGCGGAAAATTTGAATTACTCCTCCTGGTTTAAAAACAGACCATAATTCCTTATTACAAACAAAGAAGATTGTCAGAACAAAGATATCAAACACAAATTGCTAATAGCAAGTAACTCAATTGTAAAACACTCGTACATAACGAGACTCGGCAGTATTTTAGAAAAGTAAACTAAAACTATTAAACACCTTAATCTTTCTTATTGCCATATAGGAGTCTCACATATGGATGTAAAATATCGTTAAACAAAGAAAATGAAATACCTTCTAAATATGGGTTTAACGGGCTTAAAAAAAATGTTGCGAATATTATAGGCAAAGCATCGCATGGACATTTTTACTATAAAACAATTAAAGGACAGCACGATATTGTTAAAAAAATTAAATCAATACCTAGTATCTGAGATACTTTGCAAATATAGCTAGTAAAACTAATGATCGAGGGTAAAATCAATAAAAACGAATGGAAAACTACCAGGAGAAGATTTCCCACACGCTAAATGTATTAAACCAGAGGAATTATTGGCCATTACCTAGATAAAGCTACCATTGCAGCCCAAGATAGAGAAGAATGGAAATCCGCGTGAGAAATAATATCAATATATTCTTTCGAGAGCAAACTGACACAAAAAGAGAAGCTAAAAAAACTCTTATTACTTATCATTATTATTCTTTCTTACTGTTACTGCAGAACATAGGAAAATCGTTGGGTGTTAATGATATTGATGACATGTTCACAATAGAATTGAGTACTGCTTATTGACAATTTCGGTTAAAATAAATATTATATTTAACAAACACTTATTTATTTTAAAATTTACAAAAAGGGATTATATATAATCTCTTCTTATTCCATCGTAATCGGAAGTTTTTAACCTCAACTGCGATCCGCCTTCCCTTTCTATATTTTTTTCTTCACTCTTGGAGCTTGTATCTTGTTCTTCATTCATATTCTTTACTGCATCTTCGGTTAATTGATGTACATCATCGTTTAGTTCACTGTGTTTGGGTGAGCGTGATCGTGATCTATGTCTTTTTGTCCTTCTCCTACTGCGGCTTCCTTTTCGTCTTCGACGCCGCCTTCGGGCAACTGTAGTTTTTGGTGCATTTTTGGACATCGCAATGTAATGAGCGCGTTGTTTTTCATCCATCTGTCTCCACATTTGAGCTCCTCTTCTCACTAATTCAGTAACTGTTAAATTTTTTTTATGAGACTTACGAAAATCTCTCATAAAGTTTAAGAAAGGATTGCGAAAAATTTTCGATGGTACTCTTCTGGTGGGAGTTCGTTTTCTTACAGAATTATCATGCCTTTTTGAATGTGTTTCATCCATTTTACAACAATTTTTACAATTTAAACACTTATAGGTGACATTTGAATTAAATTATTTTGACAAGATTTGTAAATAAATTTAAATCATTATTTATCATATGATTGTTGATTTTTTCGAATTGTTAAAACGTATTTTGTAACGGGCTATATTTGAAATTGTGACAGGCAGCAGTCATGTTTAAAAATGTCTCCGAGAAGTGAAGTTGTGTGATTATATTTAAATTTTGGATAAAATCAATTGGATAAGTTTTTTTGATTATATTTCTCAATACATTTTTATTTTTAATGTCACCAGTCTTAATTTCCTTTTATGATTCTTAATTGTGTTTTTAATATATGCTTATCGTCTTTTTATATATTAAAAAAAAATTGAATTTATTAATAGCCTGTGCCTTAATTATATAGACTTTCTCTATTTGCCTACAATTTGCCTACTTTTTAGCATAAATGGTTACCCAGACTTCCTAGCATCATTAGTAGCCCAATACACACAACAATTTTTGTAGAAGCCCAGCTCCGAGTGACATGTGTGTTCCAATGAAACAGTAGGACCCACGTGTCCGAAGATCAAACCGGTAACACTCCGTAATGGAGTGGTACCTATCTGACCCCCAAGCTATAACCAACCACCCCTCCCCATCGCAGGACATAACGAATGAGGAGGCTTTGTATTGAAAATTACTTTGGATGCCCTAGGTAATGGGATATCCTCTGTTTTACATAATGTGGTTAAGCCACCCGATTTGAGGGGTAGCTAGAAAAGCTTTGCTACCTATGAATATTTTTCGTGATGTGCCTATCCGTTACGAATGTTCGCGATCATCATGACAATCTTTATCTTTTCTGCAGCAGCGCGGAAAAGCTGCATAGATGTTGTATTGAACCAGATTCCGAGGTTCTTTAACCAAGATGTTCTTCTTCTTCCTGGACCTCGTTTTCCTAATATTTTTTCTTGCAGAATGACTTAAGGCAGCGCATATCTGGATTCATTTTGCATAAGTTCGTTAATATCCGAAGAATTACAACTTTCGAGATTTGATGGTGGTCAGTACCTTTTGGTTTCAATTTATTTTTCTGAGGACCTCCTTATTTCTGACTTGGTCAGAACACAGGATCTTAAGTATTCTCCGATATAACCTCATTTCAAATGCTTCCAGTTTTCTGTACATATCTTCGTTTAAGGTTCACGATTCAATACCATAAAAAAGGACAGAGAAGACATAGCATCGCAGCATTCTTACTTTTGTATCAAGAGAGAGGATGTGACTCTTGAAGAAGGCCCCCATTCGATTAAAGGTGAATCTAGCTTTTCCGATGCGTGCTCTAATCTCCTGGTTGTTGGTCCATTCTTCATTTAATATGGTGCCGAGGTATTTGTAGTGCGTCACTCTTTCTACAGGGGATTTGTTGACGGAGAGTTGACTTTCTGTTATCGTTTTCTTGCTAATTATCATAACCTTTGTCTTCTTAACCTTTATTATTTGTCCGAAAATACTATGGTGTCATCTGCATATCGAATGTTGTTTAGCCTGTAACCATTTAGTAAAATACCTTTTTAAGTTTCGTGTAAAAGTTTCGATAAATATTCTTTCAGAGTACAGATTGAAGATTGGATTAGACAAAATACAGTCTTGCCACAATCCACGCATGATCAGTGTTTTCACCTTCAACTGTGAGATTTACTGTCCGATTCCAGTAAAGATTTCTAATTATTTTCAGATCTTGGTTGTTAATTCCTGCTGCTTTTAGTATTTGCATCATTTTGGCGTGCTATACTCGATCAAACGCTTTCTCGTAATCTCTACAATCAGTACTGAAAACAAAGCCTCTCTAGTACCAACAGCATTTGTGAACCCGAACTGGTTGGGGTAAATTTGACTTTCACACAGCTTGTAGATTCTCTTATGAATTATCATTATAAACAATTTTAGGAGATGACTCATGAGGCTTATTGTACGGTAATCTTTGCATTTTTTGGCTCCTGTTTTTTTTAAAAGTGCAGTAGACTCAGATTTCAGCCATTCTGTTGGTATTTCTCGAGAGTTGTATATGTTGTTGAATATCATTGCGATTATTGCTACTGACTCATTGTCCATTAGTTTAAGTAGTTCTGCTTATATATTATCAAGGTCTGCTGCTTTTCTATCCTTTGGGGTCCTTATTCCTGATCCATGATTGACCTCTTCTTCTAGCTCAAAGGTGTTACGTCATAAGTCCCTATGAATACTGAAGTTAATTTGTACATGACTTTGGACTTGTGTCCCATTGTAGCCCAATAGTGTCCAATTTTATGATTGTTATTAACTCAACTCACCAATTACTAAATAATATTTCTGTAACATGTCATCATTGTGCTCTTTCTATTTTATTCTCAACATTCAGTTTCATATACATTATAGCTATGTAATGAGCTAGTCGAATCATATAAAATACTGCCTTTTTTTTTTCTTTTTTGTAATTTTTTTCTAATTTCTACCAACTTATTTTCAACTAGTATTTCATTAAATGTAAATAACTATATCAATTTTATTTATTTATTGTAATTTATAATCTTATAAGGGTTGTAGATTGTAGGGTCCAAGATACACGACAGGGATAAAACTATTTTCGTGTTTCTTCATATAAGGTACTTTAACTACACTGTAAATACAACTAGTAGCAACTGTAGGTTGCTAATATGCAATTAATAAAATTTCCATTACTGTGAGCGGTATAATTATCAAAAAGACTAATAACTTGTTAAGAATAGTTTACAACAAACGTTTTGACTACAGCTTGCCATCTAATGGCTGAACATCAATGGACAGCATTTGGTCACACCATCCTACGTCATCAGGTGATAGTGATGCCAAATGTTAAGTGTGTTATAGCCTCCCACTTTAAATCAAACGTAGAGTATGTGTGATACAAAACAAAATAAGTTAGAGCTTAAAACAGACCACAGACATTATACATGGAGCATCTTGGTAGCACTTAGGAGAATATTTGAAACGTCTGCGTCTCTAAAGGAAACAATTACTCTTTGTAGACAAAGACTTCTGGGCTCACTGGATGTGGTTAAGGGTACACCAAAACTTGTAAATTGCTGTTTTAACTTTGGATGTCGTTAGGGGACAGCACATTTGGTTTTATCTGCCACATATTTCTGCAACGAATTGGAATCACAATAAAAGTATAAAGGGCAGACATATGGTACTTTTCATGTCGGAGCAAGTGGTGTTATCCCAGGAATAAACATTTTATTCGCGACAATTGCTTGTGTTTACGCACATCTGTGGGCGTAAGTAGCTCACGCGCATTGTTTAAGTATGCCAGGGAATAACTGGTAGCTAAACTTGGTACTGTATTCATGGAAAAAAGAGTACTGGGTAACACTTTATCCCATTTGGTATAGTTTATTTGAACTAGTATGAAAATCTGAATCTTTAGATCTCTATTTTTACGTTCCTCTAGATTTAAGGCAGTATAATAAACAAAAATGAGTGATTGCTGAATACGTAGGCAGTATATAAACTGCTACAATATTTTAGTAATACATTAGGGTCCTTTGTCACCTTGTTTTTAACTAAAATAGTTCTATCCATTTCGTGGAAGTATCTTCCACTGCAAAAACTAATCTTTTTCGTTTTTCAGTCCCTTTAGTCCTTTAGTAGGTAGTGGACCTACTAAATCAATTGCAATGGATTCAAAGCGTTCTGCCAATATAGACCTGTTGATTTCAAATTCAAAGGTTTATACCTTTGGCAGTCGATGCATTTCCTTATATGCTTTATAACATCTCGCCTAATGTAGGCCAGTAGTAACGAAGACCAATTCTTTAGATTATCTTTTTTAACCATTATGTCCTGCAAGAAGCATATCATGGCACTCTTTTAAAATATCGGTTATTTTACTTCGAGGGACTACTAACTGAGCATCCTCACAATTAGGCTTCTGATTATATCGATTCAAGACTCCTTGATTCAAGACATATCCTCGATCGATGTATCGGTTGATGCCTACCAATTCAGGTTCTTCAGATTCAAAAAAACTATATGAAACTAATACAGGTATCAGTTTGGGGGCAAATGTACTGGACACAGAGTATGAATTTAGGAACTAGACCAAACAACGGGCTAGAAAGTGGTTGGTTATTTGAATAACATACACGGTTGGTCATAAACATAAAATTGTACATAACACTATACTAAACAGGGACAAACAAATTAAAATTATTTAAAACATTTTGTCAAAGCTACATTCCGGTCAGCAATAGAAGAGAGAATGACTCCTTTGTCATTCATTTGAGAGAATGAGAGAGTTTTGTTTATCTTTATTTACTTTATTTATAAGGAAGAAGGTATTCGTCAATAAAGAAGACTTATCTAACTTAGAACCGTTACAGAAAGATTTTAAGTCAACAACCAATATTAATGAGGTATATTATATAAGTTTTAATTTTTAAATAAGTTTTGTTAATTTTCACTTATTGTTATTTATAGAAAGAAAGTACTTATAAAGTCGCTGTTTTTCCAAATATTTACAGCGATTTACACACGGTTCGGGAAGTGTAATTTAATCTAAAATTACCAGCCATTATTTTTGAGGTATAAAAAAACTTAAACAGGAAATTTCTAAATTTGCCTTTACTTTATTTGTAGGAAGGAAATAATTCGGATGGATATTCAAACAAGGAGAATTAATTTGGTGATAATAATTTAAATCAAAAAGAAGACAGACAAAGAAGAAAATGGTGGGGAAAATAATAGCGTAAATCTAAAAAAAAAATATATTAGGGCCGTCCAAAAAACAAAGGGAGAAAAAGAAAGTTCTCTTGTCAAAAAAGAAAAATCCGCAAAAACAATGCATTTAAAAGAAATCAGTATTCACACAAAAAAGCTAAAATAAAACTAAAAAAAGAGTTTCGTCAGTATTTATGTAAATGTCTATTGCCGACTGTCTATCAAAAGTTGGCATTGAAAATTCTAAAAAAGAATACGACAAATTGCACCATGGTTCAACAAGGTCCAATAAAAAAAACAAAATTTTAGACTAAAAAACTGTACATTTTTGTTGAAAATTCTAAGAATTTCGAGTGCAAGAGTAGATAATGTCTTAAAATAAAAAAAATAAAGAAGGAGTTAAAGGCTTAAGAGGAAAAAAGGCGAAAAAAATCAATCTCAAAAATCAATA